TTATGGTGGCAATTTCACCACAATTTTCTTGTCCGTGCTCAGGATCAGTCTGCGGTTGTTCTCGACCTCAGATTGTCCAGCCGACGCCATGCATGAGTGGACAGTGCGCTTCTCTGTCGGGCACAGTATCTGGCACAGTATCTTCGATGAATTCATTCGGACCGTTTCCTTATTCGACGAACGCTATTGGTTACCCTGGATCTATGGGCTCGATGGGATATCCTGGATCGATTGGCTCCATGTCAGGACCAATGGGAGGAATAAACGTAATGCCCATTGGTTCCGCTGGAGGAATGGGTGGAATGGGCTTGGGAGGTATCGGATCAATGGGATCGCTGTCAGGTTCAGGGATGGGCCTACCAATTTATATGCCTCAGTCATGCTCGAACGGTAAGTTGCTCTTAAATCTTTGCAAAGCATCTGCGCTAACGTCTTGCGTTTAGTACCTTATAGTGGCGTTGGAGCACAGATGGGACAGGGTTGCAACTGGCTACTGGCACCTCTAGTTGCGATTCGAGGAAGTTTCAGCGGTTATCTACAGTGCATGCCCACTGGAGGTTCATCATGTGGAACGTGGAACGCCTTCAACTGTCCTTCGAATTCGTACTTTAACCCGGTCTCTCAGCTGTGCTCCTATTCCAGTAATAACATAAACATTTTCAGCCAGGCCTCTAATTTTACCATTTCAGGTCCTTACACTGGCTCACCGTTCATGACCGGTTATGGAACAAACATCGGAATGGGAAGTGCCATTGGAGGTGGCATGTATGGTCCCTCATTTGGGTATCCAGTGCCTGGTATTTCACAACCATATGGCTCTGTAATTTCTGGAGGTCCTGGTCCAGTAATTGGAGGAACCGGTATTAGTCCAATTCTTGGCAGCTCCGGCATCTCAGGGTCTCCAGGATACATGCCTGCAGGCCAAATTTCTATGGGTGGTTGCATGTCAAACTACATTTACGGTGGATGTAACAGTATGAATCAATGCCCCGGATATTCATCATGTAACAAAATACCTTATCCCATTTTCAAAGCGTCGGACGAAAATGCAAAAGAGGTATTTGTCACTTTTTATCATCAGGAGTCACTGGCAAAAAATTTCAGGGAAACGATAAGAGCAAAGTGGAAGTAGCCATGAAGAAGAAAAAGCCTATGATTTTGCTAGTATGCTGCCATACGTCGAAACCCTCATATTGGTAGATCAAAATACCTCTATTTAATATGAATTAGGCATTATTGAAAGGTGTTCCAGTAGAGCCTAGTCTCATCTGTCCAGCTGCGTTGACAATTTTGTCTGTGAATGGCTTCCTGAATAAACGTTTGTACACCATCGGTGCTGCGTTGTAGTTTTCACCT